TTTTGAAAATACTAATTGTAAATAATTAAAAAATTGTACAGTTTTGCATTCATGGTTTTAAAACCATACTTTGTTGTAAATGGTTTCAAAACAATAAAGAAAAAAAATGTTCTTTACCGTAAACTTCACTGCTATTTTACCATAATTTTAGAATGAAACTTTTAACAGTGTGGACTGAAGTGGTTCAAGCATCCGACTACAAACCCGAAGGTCTTTGATATTAATTCTGTAGGCAGCCAATAAATATCTTGGTTACACAATTTATCTTCTACATCATTTTTGAGATTATGACATTTTTTTTACAAAAATGAGTATATGCTGTTTCAATTTCCATGTCACTGTACTTAATAAAGAATACATAGCGTGCACAAACTCGACTATATTTGTTTCGAGGCTATTTTGATACATGTTTGCTCACTTTTGAGAAATCCTTTTTTATAGTATGATTCTATCAACTGTATTTTGCCGTATTTTATTAAACGCAAACGTTGATAAAAATACATAAAGTTCAAAGAATTACTCTTCTTGATAGCAGGAATAAAATATTAAGACATCTAAAGCATAACTTTTAGACTAGCTTTTCAGTTCAAATTATTTTTGTGTACATCTACTTATGAAGTAGACTACAGGACTGTATAAAAAACAATGGTTAAAAGAACTTTTTTAACTAGAATGTAAAAGCATAACTTTCACTAGAATTACTTTCATTACTTTTCATTACATTACTTACATTTATCTTTCGTAAAAGCATTACTTTCATTACTTTAATTTATTTAACACAAATTTCTTTTAACAATAATTTTTGCGGAAAATTTAAAATAAAAAGAAAATTTAATCTTCTGAAATAATTCATTTTCTTAAAACGATTTAAAATATTATGTTCAAACAGATCTTATAGTTAATTAACTTAGAAAGTAAGACATCACAGTTTGCTTTCGTTGCACAGTCTAAACCATATTTACTCCCTGCGTTCGGTAAACGATTAATTTAAAGGAATAGTTAAGCAAGTAAGATAAATCAATTTAAACTATTGCGCAGTTAGGAAACCATGACAAATTGGTGTTTTATTGCTGTGAACACTATTGGATCGTTAATCAGTGACATCTAATAAAAGATTTTCTTAAAATTATTCCTTAAATTTAGCATTATGAAGCATTAGGAATCTTAGTTTTGAAGAGAATATGAAAATATTATTTTAGCTCGTCCATTTAAATTTATTATTGGACAACAACATGAGTTAAGTAACATAAATGCATAGGTAATTTAAAAAAATGATAAATAAAATAAGACGAAATTAAAATTAACGAATTTTTAAAATGTCATTTAGTAATATTAATATTTGAAAAACTTTTTTTTCATGCATTTTCAGAACTATTTTTTCAATGTTAAACTATTATATGAACCGGAAGGTAATGCCATTTTGGTGTATTTGATAATTGTTATCAAGATTTTATTTATAATCAATATTGCAGAAAAAGTAATCTATATTTGACAATACTTAACATTATTAACACTGCAACATTCGATCATGCTTTCCATATATTCTGTATATATATATANTGAGTTCAAACATTCGGCGGCCCTTTTCTATTTACTCAATAAAGACAAGATTTTATGTAAAATGTAATAGGAAGAGAATATTTATATTTCGGTTTACTTAAATAGATTAATACCTTTTTGTTTATTATTCGATGATGTGAATAAAATAAGGGAAGGATAAATTCATTCTGATAAGTAGACACTTAAGAAATAAGTGAAATATAAAATATTGATTAAACATTTCCAACTTCAAAGTAGATATTGTCTAAATAAAAAATTAAAATTCCGTTACAAAATGTCAAAATACAATATATATATATATATATATATATATATTGTATTTTGACATTTTGTAACGGAATTTTAATTTTTTATTTAGACAATATCTACTTTGAAGTTGGAAATGTTTAATCAATATTTTATATTTCACTTATTTCTTAAGTGTCTACTTATCAGAATGAATTTATCCTTCCCTTATTTTATTCACATCATCGAATAATAAACAAAAAGGTATTAATCTATTTAAGTAAACCGAAATATAAATATACTCTTCCTATTACATTTTACATAAAATCTTGTCTTTATTGAGTAAATAGAAAAGGGCCGCCGAATGTTTGAACTCAAACATAATAAAGTTGAAACATTTCACCATCTAACGTATTTTACTTTAAGGAGAAATATAACATTATTTACGTAGATGTACTTTGTTTACATAATTTGAACCATGTCTGCTAAAATTATTCTCAAAAGAAACTTACTCATGATTAAATAAGATTATATTTTCCTTAAAAAAGTAATTGAATTCAAATTGTAAATTTGTGTTAATGGGATTATGAAAAATATATTTTAGGGATAACATTAATAAATATTTCCCAATAATAAATTATTCACATCTATAGTGCAATTTGAATTTATATTACTATTCATATTCATTCCACATTTACATTATAATCGACTTAACACATTTACAAAACAATTTAATAATACATTACCAATTTACAATACAATTACCGTACAATATATCTTTACATTATTGTTACATTATAATACATCGATTACAGTTATATTAAATTATAATTACAATTACATTAAATATAATTACACTGGAATTGTGCAATTTAATTTCTTTTCAAAATAATTACTTTGCTGAACAATTTCATTGCAACATAATTGCATTACAATACATTTACATCGCAAAACAATTACATAAGAATGCAACTAATTTATAATACAATTTCATGAAAAGGTAATCACAGAACAACGAAGTCAAAATGCCATAAAATACAATCATTAAAATAGATCATTAAAATACAATATAAATACATTGGAATGCAATTATATTACAATATGGCACAATTGCTCTGCATTACAATTACATTACCACACAGTTACTTTACAACGTAAATACTTTACAATACAAGTATTTGGCAATAAATTTGCTAAAATTGCATTATAAATCAATTATATTTCTAGATAATAACATTGCAATATATTTACCATTATATTAAAATACAAATGCATTCACATTACAATGCAATTATGTCATAACACAAATCCACATTTAAAACAATAACAATCATTTTGAACTTTAGTTATTGATGAGTTTGTACAACAGCTTTAAAGAGCATAATTTGAATTTTCTATTCTAAGAGATTTGGTAGATGAATCAAAGATCACACTGTATAAAGAAATAATTAATTTTTAACTAGTTCATTATAATGCAAGTTCAGAATGTATATTTTATTTGCGTGGTTAGTAAGACATGTTTTATTTACTGTAAAATTAAACAAAAGAATTTTTTACAATAAGAAAGATTGCCTTGTTTCATTTTCAAGGATAGTTGCAAAAAATTTGGAAATACAACTTAAGTTGGTAAGATTTCATTTAGATATTCAGTTAAAGCAAACTGAAATGAAACAGGAACTATTGAAATATAAATTTAATCTTATAACAAAGCTTTCGTATAGTCGCAAATCACTTATTTACAAATGATAAAAGGATAAATTAATTTATTAGACACAATTTGATTGTCATACTACTGCCATGATTGCCATGTATTTGAGAAGTATACTCGCCTGATAAAAAGTAAATTGCTTAGTTGTTAAATACAGAAGCTTTTTTGTTTCAATCATTGAATTATTAGCATTCAGAAATTTAAATTTATATTCCTAGCAAAACTGTGAATTATTAATTTACAAAAGAAACGTTAATACATTTTAAATAGGTTTTCTTTTATTACGTTTTGTCTTTTTAACGTTAGAACTTTGACCAATCAAAATAACAACTTTGAATAAAAAAAAAGTAGCAGATAAATAAATGACAAAAATAAGAAAATGATATAAAAAATATTAAAAACTATATTTTTAAGTTAGATTTTCATCACAACAAAAACAAAACAAAACAAAAATTGATTGCATCACTTTTGAACGACGTTTGGGAGATTTTCGGTAATGCTATGAGTTTATTACAATAGTGATGCGTCATATGTTTTTAAATTTTGGTTTGGAAGGAACTGAATTAATTTTTTCACTTTGAATAAATTTCACTTTATTCAGAGAGTTTAAATTTTTCTAGATATTTCCGAAAATGCAATATACCTTTGTTAATAATTAATATAATATTTAAAATCAATTAAATTTAAAATATTAATCATTAGAAATTAATAAGCATAAGATGAGGAAAAAAAATTTTGATATAATAATCAAGATATAAAATATGAGAGGATTCAATTTTATATATCATAGATTTGCACACATTATTTCCCCAAAAGTCAAATTTTTTATATTTTCCTTTCTCTTCGTTGATTTAAATTGATACGAAAATTAGTAAAAGTGTATACTTGCATAGTAATTTATAAAATATTTCTAAAAAGTTCATATTAAGTTAATCAGTACTGATTAAGATTTTTAAAAATATATAAAATAAAAACAATTACCATCTGTTCGATACTAAACAGAAAAATCGCTAGACAAGCTATAAAAAATCAGAAAAATCACTTGACTTAGTAATCAAATTATAGAAAATCATGAAAATCGCTTGACTTGGTAATCAGATTATAGAAAATCATAAAAATCACTAGACTTAGTAATCAAATTATAGAAAATCAGAAAAATCAGAGAAATTAGTAATCAAACTATAGAAAATCAGGAATTTAATGGTACATTTTATAGATTAGTACACATTGTTTATTTAAAACTCAATGCTCTTATGTTTTCCCTTTTATATGTTTTTTTCCATACAAAACTTATTCGAATGACAAAAAAGCAGTTAAATCGATTCAGTTGCTAACAATTACCATCTGAAATAAACTTAATTAAAACAAATCTTCTGACTAAATAATCAATGTATAGAAAAATCAGGGATTTAGTTTCGCATTTTTTAGATTAGTACACATTATTTATTTATAACTCAATGCTCATATACTTTCACTTTTTTATGTTGTGTTTCATTTTAAACTTATCGGAATGACATAAAATCAGTTAAATCGATTCAACACCTTTGAAAAGCCACACCTAAAATGAAAAAAAAAAATCCTTTTTTTTTCCAGGTCAATCATTTTTAAAGCCAGCACAGCTGAGGTGTTTCCAAGCACTGCTTAACCTGCAACTTTGGACAGAGATTTCTACCAGAAACAAAACAGTGTAGGTGTATCGATCGATGACGTCATCGAGTCACATGTCGGAAAGTGGGCGTGGTTTCTGGAACAGAATCCGACCAGCATTGTGGCATCTAGAACTCTATAAAATTTGTTGCTGTTCGCGCTTTCAGTTGTTGGTCGCCCACGCCAACACTACACGTGACAATCACACATGTGAACTAGGATATCACACATGAACTCTTGAAAATCATGAACTCTTTTTAGAGTACCAATCCTCAAAAGAAAAGAGCGCAAAATATTTTAACTCCATGCTGTGTTCGGAATTTCGAACATCTAACAGGTGATAACATATTTCTTTACGCATGCTTTTAGGATTAAATCATTCAGAAGTTTATGGCATCGTATTTCTGTATGAAGATGTTTGTTTAATTATTTTAGTATTTAATAACAAATTCTGAATGTAAATAGTTGCAGGAAACTTATTCCTCATTTCTAGATTTGATATAGATAATTTTGCTTAATTATATTAAAAGCAAAATATCTTACTCTAATCAATGAATTTTTTTTAAATACTATAAGATGCAAGTTTTGTTAGTTTTTTTTTTAAACAAATTCCTTTTTAAAAAATATTTTATATTAACTTAATGTTTTATTATCATTTGCGTGCATATCGTTCAAATATTAAAGATTAAAATAATTTTTTTAGCAAATTTATATGAGTTATATATATATATATATNTTATATATATATATAAGTTAATCAGAATTAAAGAGATACTATCAATTAGTTCATTTTTTAATATGTAGACAATTTGTATAAGGTTGTTGTACTAAGTAATGTTTTGTTGGTTTTTACTTTAAAAATATTTTCGTAATAAATATTGTGTTAATTTTTTTCCATAAGGCATAACGTTTCTATGTTTGTTAAATTAAATAAAGTGGAAAATATCAAAATAAAAATAAATAATTAAAATATTAATGCATTTTTATACGATATTTTAATGTTATTGTTCTATGCAGTTTTCTTTATGGACATATAGTGATTGATAATTTTAATTAGAAAAATTAATTGATTATTCTAAATATATAAGTTATAGAAAAAATACAAACTTCAACATTAGTCTTAAAAAACTGAAACACATTACTCAGAATTACTAGAATTTTGATAAATGTAATATTAATAAAAATATTTAGTAAAAGTTGGTTTTAATAGAATGATTTTTTTAAAGAAATTAATAGTTATATGTATTCATAGACATGAAGTAGTTTTTGGTATTTCTATAGCAAGAAAAATATTGTAAAAGTAATAATTTTACAGATGCAATTGTTATATGAATTGTGTGTAAGAAATCGTTTCTAAGTATATAAGTATAGAAAAAGAAACATAAGTATAAAAAAAGGAAAAAGTTAAAATAATTGTTTAATATTTTAACTAACAAATCAAGAATGCATTTTTTGAAAGAAAATTTTTAAAATTGGAAATAGCTTTAAGATATAGCAATAAAAATAAATTTAAATACCTAGAATGTTTTTCTTTTAGATTTAAATTAAGTAGTATGATCAATTCCTAGATCTTAAATAGTTTTTATTATTAAAATAACAATAGATATTGTCAAAATAATGATTTTGTTGATGCAAATATAACATCAATTATTTAATAACTGAAAATATTTCTCAGGAAATATTTTAATAAGTAAAAAAGCACTAAATATATACAGAATATATTTAAATAAGTAAAAAAAATTTAATCATATAAATAAATAAAAATTTATCATTTTTTCATATTACAAATAAAATATTCGAATACGTAATTTGGAATTAATAGAGATTTTTAATAAGGTACTGCAGTAAGAATAAATTTCAATTTAAGATGGGTTTTTTTTTTCAATGCCCACCTGGGGAATGACCTTTCATCATACAAGTCATCTGAAGGGCAGATTTGTTGGCCACTTTTTTAGGGGTACCATATTGGGCGGCCCAACTTTGCTCTCACAGTAAAGACAGATGGTACAGAGAATGAAAGAACATCCATGCCTTGCCTGGGATTCGAACCCAGAACCTTTCTGATGCAAGGCCAGTTACCAGACCCCTACACAGATCGGTCGGCTCAATTTAAGATATTGCAGCATAGAGTTATCTTTTTTAAATTACATATTATAATTAGTCAGAGCTCGCGCTAAGGACTTCAAATTATTAGCCAGTAAATTAGCTAAATATCAAAAATAAAACTTCTTAACCAAAGAAAAACTTTAAAAAAATTTAATGGTTGATTTTTCACATAGAAAACTTCAAATCAAAATATAAATTTACCATTAATTGAATTATTTTATTAAATGCAAATTTAAATGAAGAGTCATTTTTTAGTTGGGGAGTTTGCAATTAATCAGAGCCTGTGCTAAGGACTTCAAATTATTAGCCAGTAAATTAGCTAAGTATCAAAACTATTAGCAAATTTCAAACTTCCTAACCAAAGACAAACTTTTAAAAAATGTTATGGTTGATTTCTCACATAGAAAACTTCAAATCAAAATATAAATTTACAATTAATTGAATTATTTTATAAAATGCAAATTCAAGTGAAGAGTCATTTTTCAGTTGGGGATGAGTAGCGACGAAATGAAGAAGAGAGAAGATGAAAAATGTAGCTGATGTCTTTGAGAGAAAGAAATAGGAATATATTGAGGTTAATTTTTGATAACTTCTCTGACTAGAGCAGTTATATACTTGGGCAACATTATGTTATTGTCACATTATTATATGTGTTATTTTCCCAAGAAAACATATTTTCTGCAAAAATGTATTTTGTTGTTGTTTCTAATTCCCAAGAGGTCCATCCCAATTAGACCAATTCCATAAGTCCAAAAATGTTCAGAAAGTCTAAAAACAGATGAGGTTTTGAAAAAGCCTCGTTGATCTTAAAATCGATACAGTTTAGAATATGCTCGGGCGAAGACTGAGCAGTCCTACATTTAGTGCAAAGTCCAAAAGTCTTTTGTCCCTGAACATACGAGAGACACCTCAAGTGACCACTTGCAAAGCGAGATAAACAAGTCTGCTGGCTTCTAGGTTCCTCAAAAAGCAAGGCACTTCCAGGTCATTTTCTGAAATACCAACTATGCGGAGGAGAAATCCTCCAGAGGTCCATAAACATTTTTGAACTTTGCAAAGACCTCATAGAAAGTGGAAGGTAAATGTATGGAAGATAATATGCATCTTGTTACGAGATAATCTGCTTTATTGACACTAACTGCAGGAAAAATTTTCATCTTGTGATATCGCGTGATCTGGCAACGAACGTAGTAATCTGTATTTTACAGTAGTTAGTCTCATAATATGTCTTGTTGCGTACATTATCTAAACTTAATATTAATTCTAGATGTAGATGCTTATATTACGCAAATATAAGCATCGATGTATATAGGAATATAAGTATACGTCGTAAATAATATTATACGACGTATCTAACGGAAACTATAATCGAATAAGAACAGGATTTTTTCAAAAAATTCCATTTAAACTTTTTTTTTCACTGAGGAAAATATAAATTGTTCTTTCTGGCAGAAAAATCTTTCTCCGAAACCCAATTTTTTTGACGAATTTACGATTTTATCGTATTTGGCGAGGTGTCGAATGCATAGCTCGGGCTTGGATTAATTATAGACTTGAAATAGTTTATATTACAAAGATAACAATAATTACTGTTAAAATAGAAATTTTTTGAAGCGAATGTAACAATAATTATTTATCTCCAAAAAAAATAATTTTACACTTTTTTTTTCATTTTGAAATTTTGTCAGAAAACAAGTATCTAAAATAGAAACTAAATTTTTAAATAAATAACTTTCCCCTATATTTTGACAGTAGATGAAATCAATTTTTTATTCAAATAATTTTATGATTTTGAAAAACACATAATTAGCTCTAAATGAAACTGCGAAACATGACAGAACCAAATTTTTTGAGTCATTTTTATCAGGCTTATGACTGATACCTATTCATTCTAGTGTCGTAATGGTCCTATTCCAATTTTAATTTTTCTTTCTTATAACGGTGCAGATATAGTAAAATTTAAAAGTAATTTAAGCATAGCATATGCGAACTGGAAAATAAACTAGAATATTTTTTCAGATTTTTTACTTTTAACATTTCATTACATATTTTTACATTATGAATTTTAATACTCAAATATTTCCAATAATTCTTATTCTTTCTATAGCAACGTGCTTTATCATTTTGAAATATTATGACCGTTCTGCTTAAAGGCTATTGTTTTCCCATATTGTATGATATGAAGTCGTAGCATTTATACTTTCTAAGAGTAGCAGTTTTGAATTAATTTATAAATTTTACACAAAAAAGTTACTTTTAGAATACTATGTTATAGTATTAAAAAGTAATTAATGTCCCTTACATCAAGTAAAAATATTTCCATAATCCTTCCTAATTTTAATACTCAAATATTTCCAATAATTCTTATCATTTCTATAGCAACGTGCTTTATCATTTTAAAGTATTGTGACCGTTCTGCTTAAAGGCTAATGTTTCCAGATATTGTATGATATGAAGTCGTAGCATTTATATTTTCTAAGAGTAACAGTTTTGAATTAATTTTTAAATTTCGCACAAAAAAGTTACTTGTCAATTTACTGATATATTGAGCTTAATATGCTTACACAAGCCTATAAATTTTTTACAAGTCATCGTTGAGTCATCATAAATTAGTTTGTTTCTCAAAAAAGTAAATTATCATTTCGTATATTCGAAGTTTTGTACTTAAAATAATCTATAAATTCTGCATAAAAAAGTTATTGTAGGCAACTTGTTATCATGAGTGTTGGGAGTAATATACTAACGTTTATCTATAAATTTCACAATTTTTAAAGAGTTAGTGTTGAATAGTTTATCGTTATTAAAGTTTATTATTATGTCTTATATTAAGAGCGAAGGTCTTAAATTAGTAAATAAATTACGCAACTTTTAAACAGTTATCGTAGGAAAGTTTTTATTTACACCCTTAAAGGTCATTATCACTTATTTTACTCATTAATAAAATTGCAAATACGATATAAAAATAAATAATCCTAACCCTCACCCTAGCACACTGGACCAGCATCCAAGATTTCATGGCCAAAATTAGTATTTCGATAAAATTTGTTTCAAAATTTGAGTTTTTTATTTAGGGGATTTTATGAGCAGGTAAATTGAATTCATAGTTGAAATTTTGAAATACACTAAAACTACCCCCCCCCTCCCCCCAAAAAATGGCGGCTGAAATATGGCGAGCAAAAATAAAAAAAAATAATATAGTATGTATAAATAATTAAATATAGCAATGAAAAT